CAGGGTTGAAAATTTAACTCGAAAGATTTGGCGGTGGCTTGTATTTGTAGCATCTGGTTTTTCTTACGATAACTACACACTATCTTCTCTTTATTTTTCCCTCTTAACATGGTAAACAATAGTCCTTGGCTCCGGGGTAACACGCAGCTCTTTTAAAGAATAAATGCGGCTCTTTTTAAATAACTACGGCTCTATCAACGAATGTATGCGGCTTTTTTTGGAGACTGAATGCGTTTTTTTTGGAGAACAACTGCGGCTCTATTAACAACTGCTTGCGGCTCTTATGGAGAATGAGTGCGGATCTATCAACGAATGCATGCTGCTCTTTTGGAGAATGAATGCAGCTCTTTCAGAGAATGAATGCGGCTCTTATGGAGAATGAATGCGGCTCTTTTGGAGAATGAATGCGGCTGTTTTGGAGAATGCATGCGACTCTTTTGGAGAATGAATGCGGCTCTTTTGGAGAATGAATGCGGCTCTTTTGGAGAATGCATGCGGCTCTTTTGAAGAATGAATGTGAATTTATCAACAAATGCATGCGGCTCTTTTGGAGAATGCATGCGGCTCTTTTGAAGAATGAATGTGAATTAATCAACAAATGCATGCGTCTCTTTTGGAGAATGAATGCGGCTCTTTCGGAAAATGAATGCGGCTCTTTTGGAGAATGCATGCTTCTTTTTTTGGAGAATGCATGCGGCTCATTTTTAGAATGAATACGGCTCTATCAACGAACGCATGTGGCTTTTTTGGAGAACGAATGCGGATCTATCATGCATCTCTTTAGAAAAATGAATGCAGAGCTTTGGACTTCCATTGAAGTGACTGATGTCAATTGGCCTTCGGATTTAAATATAAAACTTTCAATATAATATCTTTAAAAAAAAAATATTTAAATTAAATGGTCACCATGTCATGATAAAAGTACGCCCGTGGCGCATTGCAGACTGTAATTTCGGTGTCAGGGCAGCTTCGTGTCAAAGCTGTCTAGACTACACGGGCAACGTCCAGACGATCACACGTGTTTGACGTCTGCATGGCTGGAAGATGTCTGGTCTTGTTAAAACTAACGTGAATTTTTTAAGAGGTTTGGTTTTTAGTGTCGGTGTTGTATGACACTGTGTGATGACATGTGACATGTTGAGGGATGTCATAAATGTAAGAAGTGTTTTGTTCGATATTTGTTTAGGGGGCAAAAAAAAAATACAAAAATATTATTTAATTTTTTTTAAAACAAAATGTAAGTCTGGGGTAAAAACACTCAGCATATTTTCTACGCGAAGACATTTATGAAGTTTTTATTTTTTTCAGCTAAATTAACTAAAGCTGATTTTAAAAATGTATTTAAATAACATCAAGGTTTGAAAAGAAATTCATAACAATAAATTTAGTTTTAGATACTTTACAGAAACTCCGATGGTACAATAGTTCCATAACCACGCAATACAGTGAGATATTTTTTTAATTAGTTTTTGTTTCACAAATATCTCTCAGATATAAAATACCCCTTACCCTAAATAAAATCTGTCAGATATAAAATCCTCCTAAGCCTAAACAAAATCTGCCAGATATAAAATCCTACTAACCTTAATCAAAAACTGTCAGATATAAAATACCCCATACCTTATTCACGACAAAATCGTCAATACTCGTTCAACAACCACCAAACACGAACCCAAATCCAAACTATTCCTTAAACCATTTTCAAATTGTTTACTCAAAACTTCAGCAGAATACCCACTACCCACATCTTTATATGTAAATACTTTCTAACACGCAAAATACGTTCTTTCAATTCATTCTGATCGAATTCGTCTTACAAGATCTACAAAATCACTATTTGAATAATCTTTGCTTACTTAGGATAGAGAGCAGAATATATATATATATATATATATATATATATATATATATATATATATATATATATATATATATATATATATATATATATATATATATTTTTCAAATAAATATACTGTTTTTCTTTGAACTAACTATCGAATTACTTACACTTTTTGCCCGAATGGTAAAACGCCGCAAGGGTCTAATGTAAAATTTATACCTCTCATTTTGCTAAGGTCCAGTCAATTTTAGTGGTGAAGGAAGATTGCATTCTGTTAGAAATTTAGCTTTAAAAATTATACTACACATTTTTATGGTTAAAAATCCTGTTAATGTTATACTTTCTTGGTTAAAAAGATATCAATTTCCTAACATGTGCACTCACATTGAAGAAAAGGAATTATTGGTATTTGGTTTGAGAGGACACTTCGTTTTTTTTTAAAGTAGATCACTACCCTTGCCTTCACCCGAACCCAAACGTGTCTCTTGTACTGATTATAATCCTAACTCATCCTGGCCACTACATCGATACTGTTAGAAAAAAAAACCCACTCTACTCGATACAATTCTACTAAAAGAATCTACGAGATACAGTTTTATAAAAACTATATTATAATGACATATCATTAGGTTTTTTTGTACTGTAATAAATTTTATTTCATTTATGAAAAAGAGTAAACAATGCTGGTAATGTTCTCCAAACCTGTTTTAAAACGCTGGTTTTTCAATAAAATGCCGTTACAATATACTGATACATTTAACCCGGCGACTGCATTAAATATTTTAAAAAAAAAGATTTAAAGACCAGACAGTCCGTTTAGCAGATGAAGCAGAGTTTATCTGTTTCTCTGACCTGAGCTTATGAATGGATAGTGTGGTCAGAGCTATGTCAACGCGCCATTACTTTCCTCGACTCAAGTCAGAGCTGGATGGATTCGTCCCTGCGAAAAATTGGGGCCAGTAGTCATGCGCTCTACGACTCTCCTCCTGGTCTCTTTTAATAAAAATATTAATGTTTTTCTTTTTAATTTAAAAAAAAAAGCAAAGATTTATTTTAAAACATTTTCAAAAGAGAATATTTAATTTTTAGAAATTTGTACAGATATACACCTGATTTAAATTGTGGAAAATACATTAAAAGAAATGACCAATTTTTTCTACGCATTTGCTTTAACCCAAGTTCTCCCCTTTGAATGCGAATTTTAACTCAACCCTTATTCTAAACGTAACACCTATAACACCTATAAACAAGAAGATTCGTTACTTCTCTGTCTCCATCTCAAGCAGAAAGCATTCCACTATCCTATCACTACAAAAACACATGTGAAATATCCTTAAATGTTGAATTAGTTAAAAAAAAGCACATACAAAACATACCGCGAGGTACTCACTGTATCTATAAGCTTATGGAAATATTGAAAAAGAATACACCTAATACACTGACCAAATTAATGAATTTTTTTAACAACAACCCACCATATTTAAGAAGTTCCCGAATGTTTCGATACACCTCATTTAGCCACCAGATTACATCAACACCATCAAAGTATTCTATTCTTGGCACAGCAGCCCATTGCATCCAACGGTACAATGTTTAAAGCGCTTATACATCACCTCACCCAGACTTATAAGAGTTCTGGCCCTTGTACTGGCATATGCCCCTTGTCCTGGCACATGCCCTTTGTTATAGTTTTGAATGTTATCAACACTTTAGACAGGGAACGCAATGGGAACCGTCAATAAAACATCAAACGATGGGAACGGCCGCCACACGCGTCGCTAAAATGCTACGATAAAAACGATTGGTTGTTTTTTAGGGGACAAATGAAGAAACATCAAAGACTACACTAGCAGTTCTAGAGTTTTGGATAGTGGGGCAGTTTTATTAAATCGTTATTAGAGTTATGGAAACTTAAAAGTAGATTAGTAATTTAGAAATGAGGTATAATATATTCAATGTAGAGGGACCAATCATAAGCATAGGCAATACAAAATAAAAATAGATTAGCAATATAGAAAAATAAGGTAACTTTTAAAAAATGGATTTATAAATGATGCATCATTGTAATATAAAAAAAAATAATTATTAAAAAGCTATAAACGCTTGTAAAATTAAATTTTATGCGATAATATTTAACACATTGAAATAAAAAATTCCAGACTACATTAAACGTAAAATTAGCATAGGAGAAACGAGTAATTAAAACTACGATTTTGATGCCCCATTGCTTATAACGTTAGGTCTAGGGTCTCCATTGACCTAACCTTAGCTTTTAACTAAACTTTAAATTTACAAGTATTTATTTTTATGTCAGTAGCAGCAGGATATACATTTATACAATGGTTACATTAATGTATATGGGGTGTGTTGGCCTAGCGATAAAGCACTAGAATACCAACCCGGAAATTCATAGTTCGAATCCGAGTTCAAGTGAGTTTAATGTATCGGAGTCCAGTCAGCTCAGATAGGTATCTAACTCATATCTGCGAAAGTAAAGGCGGTTTGGCTTAATGCTGACCACCCTATCCTTTCACTTAACTTCACCAGTTTCAAAAGGTAACTATTATTACTTAATTAATGTTTACATTTTATCTGTTAAGATTCTTTATTTTATTTTGATTATGCATACTATATCGAAGGAATACCTTAAGTCTTTTGTGTTGATTAATTTGTTTTAAAAGAAAAATTCACTGCTCAAAATAGCTGTCAAAATTTGACTGAACCTCCATTTCCCCATGTCATTCAGAATGAGACCCGCTCTCTGAGATACTCATAAAAATCTCGTTTTATGTCTCACATAAAATACCAATTCCCCTGCATCCACACGTGGCTAAAAGAATCCACAAAAAACACCTACTAATCCTTGGATATTTAGCAAAAAAAAAATTCCTTTGAAGTATGTAGTGTATTTTAATGGCGGTAATATCCCTTTTTCGGCTACTATTAATTTTATTTCATTCATTGATTTATCAATAAGATGAAATTATTCCAGAATTTGCGTTTCTTATCAATCGGATATTCTACCCTTTTTAAGTCTTTGAGTTTTTTTGTTTTTTTCTCTTATAGATCTAAGTCATCTTACTAAAAAATTGTATTAGTGATTTGTGTAGTAAAGGTCGAATCTAAAGAAAAAAGTAATAAAATAAGTTCTCCATACCTGATTAGAAAAAGCAACTTGATGGGACTTTGATCTTTTCCTTCCGCTAGCTAAACTATCACTCAGCACTTGGAAATGAAGAGTGGTGTGCCCTTGTTTTTATAGCCGCCTTAGAGGGTACTGCGGCCCGGGCGATTGTGTTTTACCCGACGACGCTATGCTGTCATGCGCGAGACGGATGCGCATGGAGTCGGGTGGACGGGTGGGGTGGCGGCTCAACCAGAGGAGACGGTCGTCAGCCGTCGCGCGTTTTTCCGTTGGTCGTCTGTTTCTGAGTTTCTAGATCTATGTTGGTCGTCTTGTTTCTAAGTTTCTAGATCTATGTTGGTCGTCTGTTTCTATGTTTTCTAGGTCTATGTTGGTCGTCTATTTCTGAGTTTGTGGATCTATGTTTGTCGTGACGTCTGTTTCTGAGTTTCTAGATCTATGTTGGTCGTCTGTTTATAAGTTTGTAGATGTATGTTGGTCGTCTGTTTCTAAGTTTATAGATCTATGTTGGTCGTCTATTTCTGAGTTTCTAGATCTATGTTGGTCGTCCGTTTATAAGTTTGTAGATGTATGTTGGTCGTCCGTTTCTAAGTTTGTAGATCTATGTTGGTCGTCCGTTTCTGAGTTTCTAGATCTATGTTGGTCGTCCGTTTCTAAGTTTGTAGATCTATGTTGGTCGTCCGTTTCTAAGTTTGTAGATCTATGTTGGTCGTCCGTTTCTGAGTTTCTAGATCTATGTTGGTCGTCCGTTTCTAAGTTTGTAGATCTATGTTGGTCGTCCGTTTCTGAGTTTCTAGATCTATGTTGGTCGTCTGTTTCTAAATTTCTAGATCTGTGTTGGTCGTCTATTTCTGAGTTTGTGGATCTATGTTTGTCGTGACGTCTGTTTCTGAGTTTCTAGATCTATGTTGGTCGTCTGTTTATAAGTTTGTAGATGTATGTTGGTCTTCTGTTTCTAAGTTTCTAGATCTGTGTTGGTCGTCTGTTTCTAAGTTTATAGATCTATGTTGGTCTTCTGTTTCTAAGTTTGTAGATCTATGTTGGTCTTCTGTTTCTAAGTTTGTAGATCTATGTTGGTCGTCTATTTCTAAGTTTGTAGATCTATGTTGGTCGTCTGTTTCTAAGTTTCTAGATCTATGTTGGTCGTCTGTTTCTAAGTTTGTAGATCAATGTTACTCGTATGTTTTCTGAATTTTTAGATCTATATTGTTGTCTGCTTCAGCGTTGTGTAACGCAATTTCACGCTTTAGGGACTTTTGTTAGGAATTGTCTTTAAGGACTGTAGTTAGGGACTTCTTTGGGGATTGACGTTAGGGACTTATTTGGGGACTGTCGTTAAAGACTGTCGTTAAGGATTGTCATTAGGTTTTTTCATGACACTGTGTTGTGAGTGTCATGACATGACATTTTGACTGTCATGACATGACATTTTGATGACGTGACGAGAACTAAGACTGTCTGATACTTTTATTGTTAAACTTGTCTACTAAAGCTGTGTTGCCGATGTTGACTGTGACGGTAGCGCTGTCAAGATACAACCTTACACGTCAACATTAGGGATTCATAACTTCTACTTTTGAAGTCATTACTGAGAAAAATAATTAAAAAAAAACTACTACTAGCGTGTGATGGAATTTCCTATCTAGGGGTGGGGGGGGGGGGGGGGAGGGGTCAGGGGGAGCGGTGTAAAGTGGATAATAAATAAAACATTTACAACGAAAACATGGTTTCCAAACCTGCAACAGACGTCGTAGTTGTCATACTACCCACTCGACCACGACGTAATAAATTAACTATTTCGTCAAAATTTAGTATTTTGTTTTACTTAAGGACTAACCTAAACACTCGAGATCATTGCTAATATCTGTCATCATTACTAACGGTTACATTTTAAAAACCTGTAACGCCAACGTATGGATATTTGACGTTAAGATCTGTTTAAAAAAAATGTTTTGTCTACATCTATATGGTCACTTAAATTCTACGCATGGGTAGTTAAATACATTAAAAACAGAAAATTAAATTTTATTGTAATGAAACTGTTGACATACTACAGTAAAGAAAACCTAAAGAATTCGACTGACCGTGAAAGGTTATGAGAAACGTTATAATGTCAGCATGTTGTAAAGTTCATTTTTTTTTTCGGCATCGGATGATTTTTTTAAAAATTGTACCAAATTTGACCTAAGAGAGGGTTGGCATTAGAATTAAAATATGTGGTGGATGCATATTACATACACAATCCGACGGATAAACATTTAAAAACAAATTATAATATGTTCGCTGAAGTGTGTTTTGGATATGCTTGATATAATGCAAGAGGGGGGTGGGGGGGGGGGTAAATTTTGCAAACTTTCACGACTAAATAAGTAAAACATTTTAATTTTTAAATAATTATCACTTTTTTATATTTTACAACTTCAAGTAAAAGTAATTTTAAAAAAAAATATTCTTTTAACACATCTAATTACTACCTTTCAACAGCTCATTTAAGTAATTAATGCTTTCGCTGCACTTTTGGAAAGACAAATTAAAATATTAAAATAGGTCACCAATCAATATCAGACACTATTTACTACAACTAAATTAGTCATTTTACTAATTTCAAAATCTTGCATCTCGTTCGAATTTCTTTGAAAAACATAAATATTAAAAATAAAATAATTATAATCTATAAATAGCCTAGAAACAGATTTAATTTGCCTGATAAGATTCCATTAGGCGACGAAAGTCTTCAAATATATTAATTAGTAAATTCATGAACTAACACGAAATGTTCATCATATTTTTTGCAGCAGTTTTGACTTAATTTATGAGCAGCATTAAAACTTTTGACTCTAGTCTCTAAGATGTCCGTGAGTCCACCCAGCTCTAATGGGTACCTGCTGCCTTAAGTTAGTAATAAAGAGCTAGGGAAATTTAAGTAGGCAGGGCAAATGCTTACCAAGTCCTTCATATGTCGAGGTAAAAAAAACAAATGGACTATATCTGAATTATGGACCTTCAAGTTCAAAAAGTGAAGTTTACTTATTTTTTATCTTTATATGTTTTTAAAAAAATTTCCATACACTCATATATTTTTGAAAAAAAATGTTACATTAACTTTTTTATTCCATTATTTGCAGTATATTCCAGTATTTGCAGTAGATTTAGCTAAGTCGGCCGTGTTTTTGACTACAGTAAAAGTAAAAATTTAGCGCTGAGCGCTCAGGAAAAATGTAACTTCGATGTGGGGTGATTACAGAAATGGCGGCAAATGAAGGCGAATCAATATCTGACGGTCGTCTGCTCGCTATTAGCATTGCCGTCCTAGTGAACATCGTTCAATGAATATCGTTTCGTTATTTTTAACCTTAATATACTCTTCTTTTTAAGGTTGGGAGAGGTTAATTTTTGTGTATATTTACTACGAGCCGACCCGCGGCATATCATACGCCGCTATTTAATTGTTTTATTTTTCTACTTATCAGTAATTCATAATTTGTGAACTCGACACTACCAATGCTGCCACTGAAAGTATTTGCTTTAAAACACTATCAGTAGGTCGTTAAGAACGATACTACCCCCACCCTCCTTTCCCCAAACCCCTAACCTACCCCCCCCCCCCCCCCCCCCCGTGAAAGCAGCCTCCTCTTAGTTACCTCCCCTAAGTTTAAAATCGTTTCAAACTAAATTATCTGCACCTAATAGCCGTCACAAAACCCGGCTCTACGACTGTAAACATTTAGCGTGAACCACAGCTCACCAGACCATGTAGAGGTGGGGTGGTAGGGAGAGCGCTTACAGCTTGTTTTCTAGCGTCTCCCAGAAGAGAATTATATATATAGATATTTAAATGTACCACTTACAAGTGGGGCAGAGGTTCACCTGTTTTTGTAGTTTCTGTATTAGAAGAGATAGTGTGGTCAGATGTAACTCTGTCTTTTCCAGTTTGTGCCCGAGACACATGGGGGCGATGAAGTAGAGTTCATTGACCTCTGCATATCAGTGGTTGGCTTCTTCCGCACTATACCCAGCCGCCTGTGTTTTCCTAACCTGAGTTAGGTACCCGTTAAAGCTGGGTGGACTCATGGACGTTCCACTAACTTGAGCCCAGGTTCGAACTCGGGACTCTCGGGTTAGCAGTCTAGCGCGCTACCTCTAGGCCAGATGTATGTGGATGTATAACTCACACGTAAATTTACGTTTAGGAATACAAACGTGAGAGCTGTAAATCTAAATGTAGTAAATGTAACGTAAATATGAGGTAGATGGGTGTGTTTTAACATTAGTCGCTGAAGGTGTTGGTGTAATCTTGATGATAGAGTTCAGTAGGAGTGTTAGTACAGTGAAAGTGGAGCTTGGGTACTTGTTATGTTAATTTGGAATAATAGTTTGAGATCCGCTGGTTTAATACATTAGATGCTATAGTATAGTAGATTTCTTAGTTTTAGTACACTAGATACTGTAGTATAGTAGATGTTACAGGATATTAGATGCTAAAGCATTGTTGATTTTGTAATACATTACATGCTATAGAACAATAGATGTTTTCAAACTTAAGATATTAAGTAGAGTAGATATTAAGGAGAGTAGATGCTTTATGACATAGGATGCTGTAATATATTATATTTTTGTATCATCGAAGGTATGTATTTTATAATCATTTATACAGTCAATGCCGGAGCACTTATGTACCCGGTAATTTGCTGGACTGTTGTTTTTTCGTGTATACAATAATCTCGCTCATTTTAAGAAACTTGAACGCTAAAACACAACACTATGAAAGAGACGCGACAGTCGCTTATATACAAAATTGGAAAACATCACACAAAAAGAATTAATCTTAACATATTTAATCATTATTAAAATATTTCAATCAATTTGTCTTAAAAATCATTATTATTGATGAGCAATCATATTTTAAATCATAAAATAGCACTGTATAATTTATCAAACTTCCCTCCTTTACATTTGTTAATTTTATTAGACAACTGTTTTTCAAACTTCAAAAGTGCAATCGGTATTTATTTATTTTCGCTGATAGATTGCACACATTTCGCCCACACCTTACAGTATATGCTAAGGTTCGCATGTTGCGTGGACGTCTTCTGAACGATATTATAGGCGTCTTGCTGTAAAGGATATTTCATTTGTC